CCCGAAAACAACGATTCGAGGAACTTTTTGAGTCAATGTCGCTTAGAATTGCGTGATTTTCCCATAAATTATATATTACATTGTTCCAAGTGCCCGAGACTTTCTACCTACCAAGAATTTTTTCTCGACGATTTTTTTAGTAGCTTTAATAACCTTTTCTTCCAGCCACCGCAATGATGAAATGAAGCGCATGGTAAGGCATTAATGGGGTACGATTGGCCCGTCATCTCTCTTAATCGTACATGGTGACTTATCCTTTTTATTGAATTTTTCAAAACAGTGTCTGGTAGGGAACATTCAGGGAAAGTTTCAAAAAAATTATTCGGCAACTTTTATCCCTGAAGAATCACCTTAACGCGATTTGCTGTTAAATTATGGACACTAAAAATATGATATAAACAAGCGGCCGAGCGAGTGAAACTAATCACACCACATTGAATACTTTGCGGGGCACAGTAAATGTCTCACTTCTACTGGATAAAACAGCCATTTTTACTGAAATCTGGGTAGAATTACTTACAAAGCAAAAATTACTGGAAAATCCTATTACCTTTCTTTTTTTTCAAATTTCCTGTCCTTACTATTTAGTAATAAATAAGTTGAAATCTTAAGTTCTCAAAATTCTATAAATTAAAATTAATAGTTTGGCGCTGCTTGATTGTGGATCACAGTGTTTCAGCAAGAAGAAAGGAGAAAACATGAATACACACGCTTGTGCTGTTTCCTTCTATTACGTTGAAACAACTGTATGTATAAGTATTGGTTTGTGCACCCGCGTGCCCGAATAAATATTTCTCACACGTTGATCAAGATGTACATACAGACAACAAATTTAACAGTTTTGTTATCCGTTATCGTGTAACACTATTCCATTTGCACATGTACCTGGGTGTGCCAGCATTTGTTGGTTGTTGACAACGAGGAGATACGTACAAATGTAAATATACTGTAATCTGACGTACAGTATTGATGCATTTTTTGAAGTACCCCATGAATTTCAGGCCCCATCCACACACT